AGAAAAAATGCACTTTTACTCACATGTGGGACCTAACACAAATAAACAAATACACTACTACTTTCATGTGAGACCAACACTTGTAAAAGGTACAAATAACAAATACTGGAATAAGACTCCAACTCAAAACCGTGCTCTTGGTTTTAGTTGCTATTCCCAACCAATACTTCTAGTTCTTCACCATAGCATAAGAGAGAGTGAACAAACTGTAAATTGTAATTCCAACAGGACGATAGACCTCTATTGCTAGTTTGCTACCGGATCCACGACCTCGTGCACTCTCCTTACTAATTTCTATCCTCTTTTGTTTCACACTTCAAAATGTTGTATCACTTTAAATCTAGCAAAGGACCTACTTTTCTTAATGTTATCCAAGGCTTGCCACATGCAAAACTCTCTTTGTAATATTGTATTTTCGCTATGATTTTAACCATGAACGGCCCAACAGCCACATGACACCAACGTCTTTCAACGATATCCTAAACAAATGGCTTAATTCCTCATACTTTTTTGGTGGCTTCATAGCAATGCATGGGCATTGTGCTAGTTTACTGAATATTCCCATAACAGCGTATACTCATTAATATCGTAAAAATGAAGAACATGGATAAACATACTGTTAACTGGTCAGAATGGACAAGTTATCTAGAGCTATCCTGAAGCTCATTCTACGCCATATCGGAAAATAAATCTCATACTAATAAATCTTGGTAACATGTTGGATCATGATTTAAATCATCTTTAAATAATTTTAGCACGAAAAGATGAAAATGAACTCCGCTTATTAGTGTTTACTGGTACAAATAGACTTGCCACATGGAGAGCAATCCTACAGATGATAAATGAATAATTACTCATAATTTCAAACAAAGTGGTTATTTTTTATTTGAACTTTGTTAGAAATATCAGCAGAGGTAACGTACAGAACAAAATAAATATAACTAAGCCTAATCTTCAAAGGGTTTAAGCCAGTTTTCATGTAGTCGACTTCCAGCTGTTGTGTATCTCCTCTTCAGGAAAAAAAATGGCACGTCAGATATGCACTAACATTACCATTTGAGAATTATATCATCCTTCAACAGGCAGGAAACAATAAATTCTATAAAGGGATTTGACAATCTTGTAATCACTGTATATATTTCTGGAACACATACACAGGTAAGCATTGTTTTATCGTATGGATATTCATATAATAAGACAATGATGACAGTTTGCTAGTTCTGACTTAAACCACAAAAATAACTAGAAGAAGCTAACCAATTGCAGCCTAGTGCCTGGCTACAGAACATAAAGAAAATGAAATACCAGAATATATTTTTGTTAGTCAATCATAATCATTACATAGAAGAGACCACACACACATCAGAACAAGACACTGCAGAACATCATCGATGTACATTGAAGAGGCCATGAAGCAACAAAAGAAACAAATTATATGATAGTAATTCAAATTGTTGGCTTAACACGGAATGACGAGAGCATAATTTCATCAGCCAATTGTTGAATAATAATTTGTTTTTTTTTGTATCGACAATGTAATCCATGGTATTACCTGCAGTGTAGACACTTTCGAATGGATGATAGTGAGAACATCTTGCGGTGGTTTCGGCAAGCTTCTTGAATTCAATGAGTCAAGGTGGATCATGAAGATGCCATTAACTGTCCAAATGAACACGGCATTATTCTGCTCAGCAAACCCTAGTATCGACAGGGCTATGGGGTTTTTATCCTCCGACTTCAGAGAAAGTAGCTTGTCCAGTTGAATAGTTCTTCCAAGCTCCCATGAAGCAACACCATCACAATCTGTCTTCCTCTTCCATAACTGAGCAGCGTAGTCTAACACTGACATGAAGAGGAAACCCAGCCCGCCGCCCTCAGCCCTCATAACCTGGAAGTAGTTGCCCTGGCCATACATATCCACTAGCGGCACTCGTATCATAGCTAGGCTCTGCTTCTCCAAATCAAACTTGAGAATTCCACCAAAATTCCTAGAAAGCATCCAGTGAAGTGAGTCTCCAACCAGCACAGCATCAAGCTCATAAAGCATGGTGTTGGGAGAACCGCTCACATCAGGTTGGTATGGAAGCGGTGTCGAGATACGATCTCCCCATAAGCCGGTCTTTGACGAGTAAACACAGACAACCGCACGTGTATGTTGCTCGTCATCCGAATGTCTCACCACCAAGACCACCTGGAAGTGTTTGTCTCTGGTGGCGCAAAGCACCGCCCCGTGTGTCCCGTCGAACCCCGGGGGAACGGCAATGCGGTGCTGGTCTCCGGTGACGGGGTCCCAGACCACGACCTGGAAACGCTTCATAGGCCAGAAGAGTAGGAGGCCATGGCGGCACCCAAGGGAAAGGCGTTAATCATCAACGTCGTCGAACGGCAAGGAGAAGCGCCCGGGAGGGACGCAATTGGGGGCATCCAGAGTTGGCAGGAAGGACAGATCATTGTACTTGTCGGAGAAACCGAGGAGATGAGGGTTACGACGGTGGCGGAGGCGGAAGCGGCGGAAGAAGCCGGGGTCAGAGACGATGCTGTGCCAGTGCTTGCAGACGAGGGAGCGCGCGGGAGGGAGGAGGGCTGCGGGGAGAGGCGGAGCAGGATCTCGGAGAGCAGGTCGCCGTCGTCCAGTGGCCCGGACGCCGGCGAGCGGACGCAGCGGTGGCTGCGCATCTCGCGTGGGGAATGGGCGAATGGGGTAAATAGCTCCCATGCGTCATCGTTGGTGTGAATTGTCTCTCATGCGACGTCGTTGGTTGTAATAGCTCTCATGCGACTTCTGCGTTGGAAAAAATAGCTCCCATGCGACACTGCTGCCTAATCCAAAGACACATGTTTAAAACTCGAATCAGGTGAGCGGGACCCACAGCGTGGGACCCACTAACTTATCCAACTCAGCATTGGTCAGGTGAACGAGACCCACAGCATGGGACCCACTAACTTATCCAGGTCAGCATTGGTACAAGAGGACACCGAGCCGTGCCCCGAGCCGTGCAGCACCCGAGCCCATCCTCCCCCCTCCCCTCCTCCCCGACCGTTGTTGTTCTTCTTCTCCGGCGACGACGCGCAGCAACGCCGTTCCGGGCCGCGACCTAGCAATGTCGAGCTCCGCTTCAGCCTCCCAACGCTCATGGCCGCGCTATGGCGCAGTGCCCATGACAAGGTGCCCTGCATGCCCACGTATCGCACCCCTGAAGTGGCTAGTCACAACGACCGACAAGAATGGCAACCTTGGGCGGGAATTCGTGAAATGCGAGAGCAAACCAGAGCAGGGAAATGTGAGATTTTACTTCTCAATATGCCAATTTTGGTTTTTGTCTCCCAATTTCATATTTGCCCAATTTTTCCCCATTTTTCATCGGATTTGGGATTTAGGGTTCATCTTTCCAATTTCAGAGATTGAAGCAATGCACCCATTTTGAGTGGCTAGATGAGTACATAGAGCGGATTCAACTGGAGGGTGCATCAGGGGAGCTCGATTTACCGTTGGAGGCGGAGAAATTGGGTAAGTTTGGATCGGGCGCGTCTGGATCTGGGGCCCCTGGATCTGCCCATTTCATTGGGGCTACCGTGGGGGATGCAATAGTGATGGCAGAGCTGAAGAAGCTGAACAAGCAAATGAAGAAACTCATCGAATTGCAGAAGTAGGGAAATTTGATGGGGCTGATGGCCGGACTTTTTTATGTTTGTGTAATTGCTCTCGCATTTGTTTATGTGATGATAATTAGTCGTAAGTGAATAGATTGGACATCATTTGTAATCGTGATGATATGTATATTTGAATAAAAGTGTTGCGTTGTACGAATTCAGCATGTCCTCTCCACTCTGTTTTGGCTCCATTTTTTTAGTTCTTCAGTTCGTCATCAGTTTCACTTTCAGTGATAAAGGGAGAAAAGAAAAAAAAGGTTCGTCCACAGTTGCCCAAAAAGGCCAGACCCATATAGAAGTTAGGCAGGGCCGAATAGAACATATCCAGGCCCATTGATAAAAGAAGTGTAGCTAGTGCAAAAAAAAGTGCACACGGTCATTGACATCGATATATCTTTTCGGCTTTAGGTTATTTCACAAATTTTAAGTTTTCTGCAGTCACCTTTTTTGAGATAACTCATCTGATAATTATTTGAGCTATTTTTATGCATAAGCTATCGTGTCTGATGGTAGGGTCCCGTGTTGTTTCGGCTAAAATAAAAGGTTGGTTCTAGTTAGCAGTCTAACTTGCAGTCTTTGTGAACCAAAAAAGTTGCAATTATTTGGTTCTAGTTTATTTCAACCAAGCACCATTTTTAATTTTTTTTGACTTGTGCTATGGTGTTTTCAAAGTTTTTACTCGTGTGTTTCAAACGAAAAAGGTTGTGCCCCTCTCAAAAAAAGAAGACATCTAGTGTGCCCCTAGTAGCATCTCCTTACAACATAGAGGGGCATCCCCTTACAACATATAGTGCATAAAACATAAAAGGAAGATAATTAACTAGACACGTGCTAACAACAACTTATATGATTGGATCATGTTTTAGTGCATTTTTTGGTACACATGGCCACATAAATAAAATGCAATGGAGAAACTTTAGGACCGAAAAAACATATAGATAGATAGAGGGGCATCGGGTACCCTAGTAGCATAGATAGATAGAACATATAGACGGGCATCCCCTCACTACATATAGTTAATAAAACATGAAAGGAAAATAATTAAAACTAGATAGATAGAAGACACGGGCACACACGCCCGAACCAACACAAACACAAACTAGATAGATAGAAGACTCGCACTTGAACAACTCCTTGGCACCTCCTCCTTGGGCCCCTCCTCCTTAGCCGGCGCCCCTCACTCGTCATTCTCCGGCATCTGGTAGGGGAGGGTGTGCATGCCGTTGGGGTGAGGGAAGATGTGGTGGAAGTTGGTGAAGATGTTGTAGGTCGTGAACGCGATAAACTCGCATCCACACCAGAACACCTCGCTGAGGAGGTGGTTAGCGTCCTAGGGGTTGGTGAAGGTGACGTAGAGGCCGATGATGAAGCCGTTGGCGTTGCCATCGTACTGCTTGTGGAGGTGGAACATGGGCGGAGTGCCCGAAGGGAGGTGGCGGTAGCCGGCTTGGAGGAAGAAGTGAGCCAACTCTCTAGGGACCCTCCACCTTGAGATGGCCCACACCCTCAGGCTATTCTCGACGACGACTCCGGCCGGGTACTGCCTCTCCGGCACGGCGCAAGGGCGACGGTAGGTAGGGCCGTTGAACTGCATGGTGGCTCGAGTGGTGGATTTGGCTCGAAAAGAAGAAGGGGAGGAGGCTTGAGAGATGAGTGTGAGAGGATGAGGAAATGGTGCCCTTTTATAGCCGCGTTGCAGCCGTGGTCAATGTGTACACGGTGCCTTCTTGATTGTTTTCTCTTCTTCGTTCGCACTGGCATAAGTAATTGCGGGCATTAATTCAAAAAACGGCGGGCAGAGCATCCAAAGAGGCACATGCCCGTTTATCCGCGCATGACACTGAAAAAGGAGCTGCACCACCGACGCGTCCGTCTCGTTCAAGCATGCATTTGTTAAAATAGCTTAGATGCGATGTACCTATACGCTGCGCCCCTGCCGTGCTTTACTGCGTCGATGCGTGCATGCAAGCCCGCATGCAAATGGCTAGGCTGTGTCACACGAGCACAAAATAGCTAGGTTGCGACGTTGCATGGCATGCATGGGACAGGGATGGCCCACATGTCATTGACCCTCTCGCATGCAACCCATCCCCCCCTCTCGACGGCCGTGCGCACGCACGCCAGGATCTACCGTGTCCGATCCGCTCGGCCCAACGGTCACTTAGATGCTCCCCCGCTCAACGTTATATGTTTGTCAGAGAGAAAAAACGGTGGCCAATTAGATTGGAGAATCAGGGCTCACACGGATCGCCCCTGCGGAATCCTTCTAGAAGGCCTATCCGACGGCCGCAGTTTGGCGTTAGGGTTAGATCGACGGTGGACGTTTGGCGCTAGGGTTACATGGGTTTTGGAGGCAGTCAACGGGGTTTTGAAAGGTTTGACCGAACATTCAAATGTGTTAACTAATTCAAAAAAAATCTAAAAAATGAAAAACCTGCACATATAGCCTTTTTATGTTACATAGTTATGATATAAAATGATAAACTTGATCTAATGATCTTTGCATGAAAAAACCTTCACAAATTGGACTATCTCGACTGAGGTTGCATAGAGTTCAAAGGAGTGAGAAGAGGATTTGAGGTTTTGAAAATGCAAAAAAATCAAAAGCATCACCTTAGCTTCATTTTAGAGTGACTAAGGAGGATCTGAAATTATTTTTGCATTTTAAAATTTTAAACTTGTTTTATTGCTGACTTTGTATTAAAGGGTGTTTTTTCAAAAATAAATTAAATAATATGAATACTTATTCAAAAAAAGGTGAGACTTCGTATTGATCCTATATAGGTATAATATAGGCTAAGAAAATCTTTTTTGGGTGATTTTGAGAAGGTTGAAAAAAACTTGCTTAGAAATGGGACCGTTTTCCCTTACTTTGGAGCCTGTTTGGACAACATTTTCAGTGACTATGAGTTGGACTTCACAAAAAGGGTTGGATTTATGAACTAAAGTGCATAGTAGTACATAAAACGATGCAACATCACATAACAAACAAATGAACTCAAAAAATATTGGAGATAGGTTCAAATTTGAATGTCGGTTCAAATTTGAATTTTATTTCAAGTCAAATCAACATCATAGCACATAAGTTTTCACATGAAAGAACATAAGTTTTCACATCAAATGACAACAAACTTAAGTTTTCACATCAAATTTGAATGATTTCGACTCTATTTGTTTTGCTTCTTTCTACCACTCGATTTCTTCTCCTTTTTTCCATCGTTTGGTTCCACGGCACATAGTTTGTTGATGCTGATGCTCTTGCTTTTTGGCCCCTTGGTTTTCTTGCCAACTCCACTAGGCCCCCTCAACTTTTGCACCTGACCATGTCCCACTTTTTCAGTTTGCACTTCTGCAGATTGAGTAGATGGCACACATTGTTCAACTACTTCAGTTTACAACTCAACACTTGGCAGCACAACCTCCAAACATGGCAACACAGTTGTCAAAGAAGATTCGCATGGCAGCACAACAGTTGCTTCATCTGCAACAGTTTCAGATTGCCCTAGCGCCTGCAAAACAGATTCAATATGCATCACATCGTCCAAAACAGAAACACTTAGCTCATGTTCAGCAGTAACAGTTTCAGTTAGCTCCATATCTTTGTCACCAAACATTATTTGCTTAGTGCTCTTCCTTCTAAAGCCATTCAGTCTTACTTTTTTCACT